TATATTTAAATGAAAGACTTACAATCCAGTTGCTTAACACAGAAAGTGGACAAATGATCAGTGTTGTTCTTGGTCTCTCTTCAACATCAATTTTCTTTGAACCGTCTACTGCAGATGTTCCTGAAAGAACAGATCATTAGGTGTGGTGGTGCATGCCTACAAACTGAGCACTCTGGGGGGCTAAAGCAGGAGGATCCCAAACTCAATCCTAGCCTGGGCATCTTAACAAGACACTGTTTCAAAATAAAAATTTTAAATAAAAAGGGCTGGGAATATAGCTCAGTTTGAAGGTCTGGGTTCAGTCCTCAGTAGTGCAAAAATGAAGGGAGGGATGGACAGAGGGAAGGAGGAAGGGAGAGGAGGAGGGAGGGAGAGGAGAACAGAAGACAAAAAAAGAGAGGAAGGGAGGGAGGGAAGGTAAGGATGACAACAGGAGGGAAAGACCAACCAATCATTAGCCAGGCGTGGTGGTACACACCTAAAAAGCCAATTTGTCAAAACAGATTTATTTTAAAAAAAGAAAACAGGAAAAATTGCAAAAAAGAAAATGAGTTTGTTTCAAGGTATAAGGTAACATGGACTGGATTTTGCCTTGTAACGTTAAGAAACTAAAACTCCAGGTATCAATTATTTACTGGAAGAGCCAGAAGACTATCACTGGGAGAGGACACAAAGTGGAAGTCTAATATCTATTGATACACAGTCATTTGTAAGGATGAATATTATTTTATGCTGTTTTCTAAATTCACACTACACTGAATATGGCAGACTCCAAAATGGCCCCCACTGAGCTCCACTTACTCGTATTCGTAACTTATGTAATCACCTCCAACATTCTGTCAGGGTTGGCCTCTGTGATCAGTAGGAAGTGGCTGAAATGATTTATGTAGCTTTCATACTAATGGACGGCCACAGATACAAACATACACAGCAATGTCAAATAGTTAAAAGAAGAACTAAGTGTGACATGAGTTTTTGTTAGAGGATCATGTTTAGGAAGAGATAAGGGAACTGCTGTTTTCTCAAGTAACGATTAGAACCTCAAACAGAGTGAAAAATCAAGGCAAGCATAAGTCCAAGGTAAGTGAGTACTATGACTTATTCTGGACCTAGGTGTCCTGCAAAGCATCATGAGCTCAAAGGTGGGACTTTGAGGAGTGACTGAATCACAGGTGTGTGATACTGGATTAGTCCACTGATTGGTTTAGCTGAGATCTGGGTATGGATGACACAAACAAACAGGCTTGCAGCCTGAATGGAATAAAAAGAGAGAAAAGAGGGAAGGCACTGCTTATTTTAAGCTATTTTCTGAATTCGCACTACACTTACTATGGTAGACTCCAAAATGGCGCCCAATGAGTCCCCACTTCCTCCACGTAATCACCTCCCACATTCTGTCAGGGTTGGCCTCTGTGATCAATAGGAAGCAGCTGTTCCATGGACTGTTTCTCCTCTGCCACGCTGCCCTGCCTTGGAGCCAGCTGACTATGGACTGAAATCTCCACAGTCTGTGAGCTGAAATAAACCTTTCCTTCTTTAACTTGTGGACGTTGAGTGTTTTATCCAGGCAATGAGAAAGTAACTAAGACAGTGAATTAGAACTGTAAGTCTTTCAACAAATGGCTATGATAAGCACGTAAATTTCTCCTTTCAATTATTTTTTAAATGTAATGGTTTCTTAGGGATCTTCACAAATTCTATTTTTTCATTTGTTAAAACAGAGTAGCATACATACTTCTAGTGAAATGTTTAATTTTTTAGAATGGACACTAATTTTAGCAATGGACACAAGTATTATAAACTGGGACATACTGCTTATGCTATCTTTCTCTCAATTTAGTACTTTATTTACTACACTGATTTCCTCAGTTTTGGCTATCAAAAACTCCACAATAATATAAGGTCCTTTAAAGTTTCATAAATAATGTAGGATTTTGTTTCTCAGCAGTGAATATGATTTAACTAATATTTCTTTTCTTTTCTTTTTTTTTTTTTTTTTTGGTACCAGGTATCAAACTCGGTACCTTGCGCTTGCAAGGCAGACGCCAAAACCACTGAGCTAAATCCCCAGCCCCTAATCTCTTTAATTGTTTTATTTTGGCTGAGCATATAAATTTGTAAAATAAAAATATTTCTATCTTTTGGGGAGTTCAACACGGTTAAATGTAACTTGAAGTGATGTATACTTCCTTCCTCATGTCTCATCTGCCTTTATTCTGTAACCTGAAATATTTAGATCTAATACTATTTTCTTCATCAGCCCAAGGCAGAAGAGATGAAAGAACGAGTGGTAAAAAAAACTCAATGGAACAATGGAATAACGTTTTTTTGGAAATACATTTTTTATCATAAAGCATAAACCCTTAATTTACAATATGTCAAAAAACTAGAGAACACTAACCATGTAATAGCCATAAATGTAAACATTTCCCTATATTTGCTTAATATTCTCTTTAAAACAAAGATTATCCTGACAAACTGGTAGACTGTATAATCTTCCTCTGCATGTTTTTATAACATCATACCCATACTATACTAACATTTAAATGATTTTGAAACTATACATATTCATATTTTACATATCCCACAACTTGCTCCTCAATGCTATGTATTTTTGAGATTTATGCTTTTTTAGCATTTGTAGCTCTAGGGTATTCATTTTAACCGACACACAGCATTACATTACTTGAGTGGACTAATTTATTTCTATTCCCTTGTTGGATAATGTTTACATTATTTCCAATATTTTGCTAATACAATGAAATGAAAAGCATTTTTGTACATATGTATAAGTTCTAGGTGGTTTATCTTCAGCTCCACTATAAAGTACTTTTGCCTAGTTGTTCTCCATCGTTAACTGACACTCCCCTCCACAGTACATGAGAGTTCCTTCTGCTGTATAACCATGTTTTACCTGGTGTTTATAGGATTTTTAAATACTCAAAAAATGAGATGGTATATTATTATGCTTTTAATTTACACTTTTACAATAACTGTATTTGCATATCTTTTCCTATGTTTATTGGTTATTTGCACTTTCTTTATATGAACTGCATGTCCATATCCTTCAGTTCTTTTACATGTCTTACTAGAAATTAACTTGAAAATTCTTACACAGTCTAGATCTAATCTTCTGTCAATTATATTTACCAAACATACTTTTTCAGACTACCAGTTTTCATTTTGTTTATAGGTGATACATGGAAATTTTAAATGTAGAATTTAATCTATTCCGGATGACTTTTTGTGTTCCATTAAACAAATCAGTATCTAAAATAGGTCCAGGCATTACCATGACTTCTCTCTTTATTCTTTGACTTCTATTTCTATAATGCTTCTCTTCCACAGATATATTTGTTTTAGTCTTAACACAGCTAGGACTAATTTTCTCAATCACTGCCATGTGCCTGCCAACAGAAAAGGGCTTCTATGCATGAACTTAATTCTGCTTAAATGAAAAGTTCTATATTTCTTTAATTTTGTAACATTAGAATTAAGAGCTCTTTCAGGTCCATCTTTATTTCATTACCCTCCTTCTCATCTCATAACTTATCATTTAAAATTATGCTTTTACTTATTGTATGTTTCCCCCATCACTAGATTATAAACCTCATGAAAATATTCTGCTATATTTTCAACATGAAAAGGAAAAAAACAAAGTATAGAGATATAATTTGTTCCAGATCTCTTTAGATCTAGCTCAGTCTTTTTCGTTAGGCAATGTTTTTTTCCTATGAACTACAAAGCACCAATTTATAAGATTACTAACATTCTTAAAGAAAAGGCCAATTCTACTTACTCCCAAAATTAAATCTTTTTAGAATTTAATGCAAATTAAATTAAGCTTTAAAGCAACCTTAAATTATATTGTGCCTCTGCTAGAATAAACACCTCTGCTATTCAGGAGTAATGACCCTGGAATCATATTTTTATCTTTGTAAAACAAATAAAATTAGAAAAGACACTCAAAGAAAAGCACATCAAGACATAGTTTTTTTTTCCTTTTCTGTATTTTCCAAACTTATGATTCCAAAAGTTTTAATTTTTTTCACTGAAAAACAGAAAAAAGCTAAAAACATAGCAGATTTACTAACCCTTTTTCAACATTTTCTTTTTTGCCACAGGAGGTGAGGTAAGTGAAAAAGCTGCATCTTCTTTCTTAGACGATCCTGCTAAGGAACCCATAGAATTATTAAGATATTTTAAAATTCTTTCCTGTCCTTTAGGGACAGGTACTTTGTGAAGACAAGAAACAGAATACCACTTTTACACTATCTTGAGAGCTTCTATTATTAAATAATAATAATATATGGTAACTAAAATTGTTATCTCTGACACTAAGCATCTCTCCAGAGTAATCATGGAAGACTGTTGCTTTCTGAAGGACTCATGTGAAAGTAAGGGCAAGCAGAGGCAAAATGATTCAGCTCTCAGGTGGAAGAATTCTTTCAAGGAAATAGATGTCTGACTCCTACTTATGAGGCTACAAATTTTCAGTTCAGTCCAGAAGTGATTAGTTATTTTCCAAATGCAATACATTCTCTTCACTAAGGATACAGTATGATCTGAATTAAAGGAAAACAAACATGTTGTTAAGATAAAGGAAAAAAGTAAAGATATGAAAAAAAAGGGTAAAGATACTAATTTTACACCTTTAAATCTTCGTTACAGTTTTAAGTTTGTTATGGTTTATATATAGATGTCCCTAAATAGTCAGATAATGCTGTCCCACCTCATGCAATCATAAGTTAGGTACTTTTGGAAGGCAACTGGATTGTAAGGGCATTATAGCTGACTTGCTATTAGGAGATGGGGCCTGGTTGGAAGGTAATGTGAATATTTCAAAAAAGGCACTCCCAACCCAACTTTGTTAATTATCATTTATATATAAAAATGTAAAGTTGTATAAGCAGGAGAAAATTATTTTGTTTTCAAATTATTCATTGGCCTCATTGGATTCATTTAAGACATATGATAAAGTCCATGAAGCATTCAAATGTAAAGACCAGCCAAACTGAAGATCACTAAACATCTCTAAGCTACAAAGATGCAAATGAGTGGGATTTTACTTCAATAATATTTAAGTATATATTATGAAGACTGAAAAGACATACACATACCTTTTAGCCTTTTTTTCTCTGACTGCACGTTTTTCAGTTTTCCTAAAAATTAAACCAAAATAAGCATAAAAATGGCACACGACATTAGACTGTAGGACACATTATCAAATCAAATCCATTACATATCACCTTTTATTCTGTGTGGCAATTCATCTGTCTCAACTTCCTCTGAATCACTGCTCTCAATGTACTGGGCAGTAATTTTTCTTCTAAAATTAAATATAAAAAAAGTTTTTGTAAACTCAAAATACAATACAAGGATATTGTTAATAAATACAATGCTATTTTTGTCTTGCCGGTTTTCTTTTTGAAAAAAACATTTTTCCAAAGAAAGATTTTACTTAAATAAAAATTAAATGTGCTACAAGCATTCTACATTCCTGACTAGTAAGATGTATTTATTTACAAACTGCAGGACTACTACTATTAAATTTGAAAAATTAGGTCATGTAAAAAATAATAATCATTACAATACTGGGTTCAATATTCAATAATTCCATTAAAACGCTTATTTAAATCTAGAACAGAGAAATGCTTTCTATCAATGAAAATGTAGCTAATACTGAAGTGGCCAAAGGCAAAAATAAGATTTGTTCAGAATGAAAATTTATATAAATCTTGTGTAGAAATAGTCTAAAGATGGGTAAGTGGCTGAGAACAACGGATCTTGTAGTTAAAAGTTCCACCACAAATTTGCCATGTGACTTTTTTCTTTAAATAGTGATGACTAAACCTTAAGACCTTCACACTGAGCTCCATCCTCAGCACTTTTCAAATTTTTTTCATTTTGAGACAAGGCTAAGTCATTAATTTGCCCAGGATGTACTCAAACTTGAAATTCTCCAGCCTAATAACTCTCTCAGGGTGCTGGGGTTGCTGTGTGATTTTTAGGTAAATTACCTAATGTGTATTCTTCTATGCCTTAGTTTGTTCACTGTGAAAACAGGAGTTAATAAAATCAACCTAAGTTAGGATAAAATGTTAGTACACATAAAAGTCCTTAATACAGTGCCTGTTGCACAGTAACCCTATCTGAATTAGCCATAAGATATATGTTGGCTCTTATTACTTTTCCACATCTTATTATTTCTATATTCTTTCATCTGATCTAGTCCATGTAACAGTGCTGTGACTGAAGATATATGGTTGGTTGAAACCTATACATTTGGGAAAAGGAAGACAGTAGTTCACAATGTGAATGACACAGCTGACTGGTCACAGACTGAGATCGCCGTGGTATACCAGTAAGAGAGACAGCAGAGCACATCTTTAGATACCGAGGGTAGGCTATACAGTATAACAAAAGCCCTACATTTGGACCAACCTTAGAAGGTAAATGAAGTCACAGAATTTAAAGATTCAACATACATCAGAAGGAATAATGTGTTTCGTTTGAATTCATCCTGCATGGTTCTAGTCTATGTTAGTATAATATTCTCCCCAAGTACCTTTATGTCTTATTCCCATTACTGGTAAAATAAAAAAAGGACAGAAAAGAGTGAAGAATGCTTTTGTCATTTTATTCAATTTTCAGCCCCTAAAATCCATAAAGAAAACTATGCTAAAGTTTCAACAAAAACAAAGCCCAGATGAAAGAAACATAGAAAAAGTGGTAGAGAATGAGTGATTATTAAAAATTAACAATTCACTTATTTTATACATTAGTACTTTTCACATAAAATGAGAACTCTGCTCTATCTGCCTAAGTCATAGTGACTTGAGCAATTTGAAACTTTAAAATGTATTTAACTACCCAATTAAGATACAATGCTCATCTCGTATACATTTACGTACATACATACCTATATAGATATATGCAAACAGAAGAAGTTTAAATAAACATATTTCATGTAATTAAAACCATAATAAGGGTTTACCTTTTGGGATGGGGGTTAAAGAATTCTGATATTGAACACTTATTCTTCTTGATATGTGAAATACTGGGTTCTTCATTACATCCAAATCCTTCTACTTCAAAGAAAAAGAAATACAAAGAAAAATGGCAAGTTGTCTTAAACTAGTAGTATCCCTCTTACTCTTTCTTTTCTTTTTTGGTACCGGGGATCGAACTTGGGTCCTCGTGCTTGCAAGGCAGGTGGTAGAATCACTGAGCTAAATCCCCAGCCCCCTCTTCCCCTTTCTTTTAGCTGCCCAATTATTTATCTTCAGTTTTCCTAACATCTTTCAAGTCCCCTATTCCCTTCAGTAAAATATATTTTTCCTAAACTAGTATTTTCCCATAACAAAGTACCTTCAATTTTTTATGACTCTTTCTCGAGTAGCCATTAAGTCAGTTCTTATATTGGCTAAATTTCCTTCTGTATGAAAACAGCTAGAGATGCTTGGAAGAGTGGTCGATACAAGACCCAGCTTATCTAGCCATTTTTTAGAATGATACACACATTGGATCTTCTGCTTAGATTGTAACTCTGTTTACTCTCACATGACCTTATTCACTTTATGAGGAAAATCAGTTTCCTATTTTCTATAAAAATCCCAATTTTTTGGGCCAGGGATTTAGCTCAGTCGTTCAGAGGCCTGCCTTGAAAGCGCAAGGACCCAAGTTCAATCCCCAGTACCAAAAAAAAAAAAAAAAAAAAAAAAAAAAAAA